AGCGTAACCAGTTTCTCCCGGCACTTAGGCACTGAATTGTTCTTCTTGAAATTTGAATGATGCCCGGGAGATGGACTGATGTTTGTTAAACCAATATCGGAAAAGGGAGGAGCCTTGCGACATTTTTAGAGGTCCAAAGTACCTCATTGCTGGTAACTAAGTAATTTAGTTCTGGTGATCAAACAATTCGATGTCACTGATCAAACCTACATCGTACCCACGACTAATTAGTTTTATTACTGGCATGAAGGTATTCGATACTGGTGATGAAACAGTGGTGATGAAACGACTTTCGATGTCCTAACTAAACGTTTGATCAGTCGATATATCATTAAACAAGTTTAGATGCCACAATCAAAATTTTAGTTGCTGCATCAAAACATTTTTCTCAGTGCACCATGAGGCATGAATCTATTTGCAGATCGTGTGGTCCTTTTCCAATTCTCACCTATTCCCATGATTAAACTTTAAAACAGATGTGAAATTGGGGTCATTATGGAGAACGATTGTTACAACTTGTTTCGTGGGGTGGGACCCCATACGACCTTAAGACCAAGAAAACTCGAGGAAAACTATAAAGCCAGAAATAGATTTCGTCCGTCTTCATTGGAGTGGCGGGTGGCGCCGGTATGTAAGTCGGTGCGGGGCGATGAGGCGTCATTTCGTCACCAAATTGTAAGCAGAAGAATAACGGGGCGTTACGTGATGAGATGCGATGATGATGATGATGATAATGATGATGATCGAAGTTTGTGATGAGCTTGACAGTGACATTGCCTCGTCTCACTGCGATAGAGTGATGTAAGGGCCAGACAAGATTAAAATTAGAGAAGGGGCCCGTCTGGCCCCGAGGAGGGGTGGTGGGGCAGGGGCCACCCGGGCGCGGGCCGCGGGGGCCGCGGGGGCCGCGGGGAGCCTCCTCGTGGCATTACTCATTTTCTGACCAGGCTGCACCGTCACACCCCAGCCAGGGACCCGGCAGAACGCGCGACGGCCACCCGCTATAATTCTCAATTCGTCTCTGTGAATTATTGCAACGAAGGGGAAACGGGAGAGGTTTCGCACCTCGCTCGGAGTGGATGACGAGGAGTGTGTGTGTGTGTGTGTGTGTGGTGAGGAGTATTTCAGTGACTATTATTTATTAATTTTGTGCGTGGGTGTGTCAAAACGTGGAGAATACAATAAATTCGCAGTAAGTCCCCGCCATACCAAACGGCCGATTCGCCACCCTACGCGCGTACTTAGACTGTACCGCATGCACCTGTGCGGGCGGGTTGCCTACTCGCTCGGTCCGGTAAGTAATCATGATAATCGGAGACGATATAGGCAAGCCCGCCCGTGGTACAGAGACCACTCTGTCAGACCAATTCACGGATTTTGGGGCCATTTTGGAGGGAGCTATGACTGAATAGAGCAATAAAATTATCCATCAAATGGTATTTTCTTAAAGAAACGACCCAGCAGTACGTGCTTTAAATTTGGACGAGCGAACTTGTAACCACGCCCTTGCCCAATCTGAACTTGGCGACTGTAAACCCACCCCGCCCCCGCCCTTCCGCGCCTCTCCCGTGGTTGTCGGTTCTCCCTCGCCCCTCGCCGCACCGCACCGGGCCGTAACAATGGCGTCATCGGCAATTTTATGGCGTCTGCCGCGACTCTTTCTCGCTGCGAACCGGAGTGACCAGCCTCAGCACACAAATTTTGAAAGCCATAGTAAAACGTTTTTGGAACGGTATAGAGAAGAAAACGGGGTGGTGGGTAGATCAAGGCAAATACACTAGAAACCTAAATGGGTGAGCGTCTCACACTTGTAGATATGTGAATGGGAATTCACGCACATCCAAGTAAAGGTAAACATATTTGTTGGAAGTTTGCGCACACTTTGGCAACATTCACACACATGGGTTCCTTGACACAGTTCGATTGAAATGTTGGAACCCGGATGCAACTATATTGTTTGGTCTTTCTGTTACGAGATACGCGACGGGTGGTATAATCCGTGCTTCTAATCTGAATCGAGCACGGGGTGGTGTCGGCCGGGAGATAGTGATTCGTCCCCGCTCCACTTCAGGGCGGCAGAAGCGCGGCGCGCGCCAGGCAGCTGCAGCAGCCGATATGGATGGGACGGCAGCAGCCTTGGGGTGAGGGGCGGGCTGTGAGTCCGAGCGCAGCGCATCGGCTATATGTAAAGCATTTCCTGCGCGAGGAATCCGCTGGCTGCCCGCATCACACCATTGACCCGGTTGTTGCCCGCGCCTGTTCCGCAAAGCGGCTGCCGTCTTATTCCTCCTCACCGTCGTTGTGTTCTCGTGTTGCAGTGTAGGATGCATACTGGACTGGGTCAGTGGGGCCGGCGCGGCCGGGGCGCTGTCCTCTCGGCGGGGCGCGCGCCTCCGCCGCCCACCCGCCGGGCCATCGCCTTTAACGACCCGCCGCGCCCGCACTCTCCAACCAAAGCTCCACAAACGTGGAAAGCGGACGATGCCTGGGAGTGGGATTTCATTTCGGCTGCGACCGCACACCACCACTCCACATCAGCAGGACAACCCGGACAGAAACCTTCCCCGCGCTCTCCTGGCCGTGTTGCGGTGCAAAGTCACCGCCGAAAGTAAGTATCTATCGTGGTTGTGGTGGCTATGATTATAGACCGCGACCTAAGCCCTGATTGGGAGTTGGGAAGGGTACCTCACTCAAAACAAAAATCAGTGTACAAATCAGGAAAATATAAGAAAAATAAATCAGAAAATAACTTTACTCTTCGGCTAAAGCGTGTAACTTCACGCTTTAGGGGGCGAACTTTGAACTTTGCTACAGTATAAGCTGCTCATTATTACGTATCATTTGCTTAGAATCAGAAAAGTTGGCATACGCTTGCATTTACAGAAGAGGACCCCTCCGGCCCACACGCTACCCTGAGGTTGGGCCGCCCGCCGTCTATCGTCCGGAGGCCAAGGCAGGCGGGCCAAGGCCAGGTCGACGGGCGGCCTTGTCCGGCCCAAGGACGCGCCGGCCGCCGCCCGGTCGTTGCGCCACGCTCCGCCACGCTCCGCCGGACCAACGGGCACCAACGGGTGCGTGAGCGGCTTGACGGACGCGTGCTCGCCGACCCTTCCAGCGATCTTCGCGTCTGTGTCTGTCTGGGTCGCCGGACTGGACCGCCTCGCGGGTCGGCGGGTCGGGCCGGCGGCGCCTGAACCTGGTCTGGCTGTCAGGACGCGAGTTTCATTCAATGTGAACATGATGCGCCCTGA